GCTGCTGCCCTGCACTCATCTGTGCCCCAGGAGGACAGATCAAACTCCAAAGGAATTTCCTAAGACAACCTGCCTTTTCCCCACTTCTACCCTGATCTCACATCTAATGTGGGGGGAACCAGGCCCACCATCAGAGGAGAAGGCCACCATGGCCAGTAAAACTGAGGGCCAACTTCAAAGAGAAAGGAAGGCGGGGAAAGAACTGAAGGGGCTTTTCGAACCGTGCAAATGACTGGACAAGCCCCTAACCCAGGTTTTATCTTTAGTGACCCTATTCTGCCCCAGGGATGTCACTTGTTTCTCTCGCTCTCTTTCTTCTTTCTTCTTTCTTTCTTTCTTTCTTTCTTTCTTTCTTTCTTTTTCTTTAGCTAATGGAGAGGGGGAGCAAGGCGAGGGAGGTGGGAAGAGACTTTTTTTTCACATGAGTCCTCAGAATTACAGTTCACAAACTATTCAGTAAACTGACCGGCCTCAACCTCCCCTTCAACGGCCTAATCTAAGGGGTGGATCTATGTGTTTTGTTGCTTGTCAGAAACAATCGCTGCCCGGCCCATTACATTTACAGCACGTCGCCCTTTAATTGGTGTAACACGCTGAGGCCTGAAAGGAGGAGAGGCCCACAAAAGCGCCTGTGAATGAGCCTTGACTCACACAAAAACACGCTGCAGAAGTTCAGAGCTGGCCACTAACAAGGAGGTAGGGAGTTAGCTTGAAAAGGGGTGAAGTTCAGAAATGTGTCACCTTGAGGAGCCTCCCATCAAAGCAATGGTCGCATTGACAAGCTGCAAAGAAAAAAAGTTAAACCTTCAGGGCTGCAGACTTGCCTGCTGGATTCATTCTTTTTAAACTTGAGGAGGGGTGGCGGGAGGAGAGGGGAGAGTCTTTCTTTTTCTTCTCCTCGTCCCCACCCTTGTCTCTCTGCTCCCCGATGTACTTCAGAGAGCCTTACAGAAGTCGGCATGAAGAAACACACCTCCCACCCCCCTGCCAAGATATACGATTTAAAAAATGTGCAAGAAAGTCAGGCTGAATGCGGCTGCCTTAGGCCTCAGCCGCCGCCTCTGTGGGAATAGCGCTGTGCTCTGCCCTCGGTCCCCCGGCGCGCATTTTCTAAGGCTGCTCCCCGCGTCCTGGGGCTGGGAGCGCTGCGCCCTGGAGCTGTGGACCTGGGTTCCGTGGGAGGGTGTGTGTGTGTGGGCGGGGGGCGTCTATACTTTGGTTCCAGTTTGCAAAATAAGTCTTTCCTAAAATTAGAAGCTACCCAGCTCAGGTCCGGGTGCAAGTGAGGGCCTAGGTCGCACCTTCCATTCCTCCACCTACACGGTCAGCTGCTCGGTCCCTCTCTCTTCGCTCCGGCTGCTGGGAACCGACCGGGTGAGAGTGGAGGGGTGGATCTCTCTCGTCACCCTTTCCTACACCCTGCCCTCGCCGTCCTCCGTGGGGAGCTCCCGGGTGGGTAGCACCTCGTTCAGCTCCCGGGGCGCGCCCTGCGC